CCTTCCCACCCAAGCCATCCTGTAATTCTGTGAATATATAGAATTTATAGAACAAACCCTGCTTCAAGGGGAGCTTCATCCTTCTGCCACCTTCCCATGTGACATCATAAAATCCCAAATTAGAATTCCCTGAGATTAAAGCACTTCATCATTGCTACACCACCAGGATGGCCAGGCTGGGAGTTGTGTTCAGAGAATCCACCTGAACAGAGATTATTTTATGCTATCTGTGTAGGTTTTTTGCTAAGAAAATGGATGTTTTTCCCTCTTGCAGCAACACTTTTGTCCTGGAATACTGTGGGGAGGTGCTGGATCACAAGGAATTCAAGGCTCGGGTGAAGGAATATGCCCGGAACAAGAACATCCACTATTATTTCATGGCCCTGAAGAATGATGAGGTGAGCAATGGATTGCTGGGGTGGGATTGCTGTGGCAAAGGCTGGATTTAGCTGGGTGCAGCACCAGCTCCTTGGGATCCCATGGAACAATGTCCTGAATCCATTGGGAATGTTTTCCTGAGGAAAGCAAACTTCAAGCCTCAGGATTCTTTAACCCATTGCTGAGTTCCAACAAAATTCTGGCAGCTTAAATCCCAGTATCCCAGCGTTTTTAGGGAGGGGAAAGTGTCTTTCCAGAGGAGAAGATGGAGCATGGCTCATTGTTCCATGGAAGAGAAGTTTGGGAAGATGCTCCAAGCCAAACTCACCCTTTTTAGGTGCCCAAATACACCAAAAATCCACATTTCCTTTCACATTAAACTCCATGGAATTGGGATATTTAAAGCTGGCAGAGTCCCTCTGTGCAGGATTGCCACTGGAATATTTATAAATGGGATATCCTTAATTATTTATGGCTGCTTCAGCTCTGAGGGATGTGGGGCTGTTCTCTCTGCCTGAGAACAAGGGGGATAAATAGAAATTCCATCTCTTATTCTCCTTGTCTCTCCTGTCAGAACTTTTTGGTTCTGGGGAAACTTCTGGGAACTTTTTGGGTCTGGGGAGCTTGAGAGAAAAGAGCTAAAAATACTCAGAGTGGTTTTTCCTGGGTTTTTCCTCCTAAAATAAGGATTTTTGAGATTGTTGTGTGATTTTAAGTGTCACAAAAGAGCATTTCCACTTATAAAAGGTGTTTGTATTTATGGGGTGAATTTTCCCTTGGAGTATTAGGTGTGTGGGAGAAAATTCACTGTCCCAAAAACAAAAATAAGAAACAAAATCCAGAATCTGCATCCAGCTGGAGAACTCTGGAAAATGAGGAGCCAATTACCTAAGTGCTTTTTTGGGGGGGGAATTAATGTCCTAACAAATCCTAGTCTTTACAATAAAGATGGAGAATATCAAATAAACAGTGGGAAAGGAGATGATTCCCACCTGGGTTGTTTTTGCAGCTTTTCCCCATCCCAAGGAATGAACCTTTCCCTGCATTTCTTGTCCCTTTTTCAGATCATCGATGCCACCCAGAAAGGGAACTGCTCCCGCTTCATGAACCACAGCTGTGAGCCAAACTGTGAGACCCAAAAGGTAAAAAAATGCTGGGTCAATCCAGCAGCTCCTCCCTCTGCAGAGCTCACAGTGAAACATTTCCTTCTTTATTTTGGGGTTTTTGTTGCTGTTGTGTCAGTGACACCAAAACACCTGGCTCTTTGCCTGGTTTTAAACTCCCCAGTGCTGTTTCTCCAAGGATTGGGGTGTTGAGGGAATGCAGACCTGGAGCTGAGGCTGGAATAACTCCTGGCATCTTTTCTCCACAGTGGACTGTGAATGGGCAGCTGAGGGTTGGGTTTTTCACCACCAAGCTGGTGCCGTCGGGCTCGGAGCTGACGTTTGATTACCAATTCCAGAGATACGGGTACGTCCCCTTTCCTGGCCCAGCAATTCCTGCTCCATCCCTTTCCCAGAGGATTCCCCTCCCTGCTTCTTCTGGCTGGTTATTAATTAGACTTTGGGATATTCCTCGAGAATTCCTGTTCTTCCCTTCCCACTGCTGTTTTATGGCTTTGCAAGCTTTGAGGAGCTGTAAAACCCCCTGGAAAACTCATCCCCTCTTCCTGGCCTAATCCAAAAGCTCCAGCCTGGAATTGGGATCCCTTTGCTAAACCTCCATTACTCTTTGGTGAAGTATAACTTGAGGAACATCCCTTCCTTTTCCTTCTGGATCCTTCTCCAGGCCCTTCCTGTAAGCAGGAATGAGTTTTTAGTTGCATTTTAAGATTATTCCTCATTCCTAGAAATTCCTGTTATTGATTCCTAGAAATTCCTGGAATTGAGCTTCCCTGCTTCTTACCCCTGCAGGGCCACGTTCCTCCAGTGGGTTCCACATATTTAAAATAAAACCCTGCCATTTTCCCAAGAAATTGTGGAATGGAGTTTAAAATGGATGGTGTGTCAAGTGGGAAATACAGGGGCTTGGTAGAAATATTCCTTGGGAACTATATTTATTGTATTTATTATATATATATATATAGTATTTATTATTCATGACTGAACATCCAAAACAAATTTTCCATGTGGATTTTGCTGCTTTCATGAATCCTGAGCTGATTCTTTATCCTGTTTTGAGCTCTCAAGTTCAATATATGAGCTATAAAATGCTATGAAATGCAAGTTTTTCCTAATGGATGTATAATCCTGAGGCTGAATTCCTTAGGAAAATTAGGATATTGTTGGCAATGTGGGATGAGAAGTTGTCAGCCCCACCAGCTCCACCTTTTCCTCTCTGATCCCTGGTTCTTGGCCTGTGGAGAGCCTGGAAGTGAGGCTGGGCATCATGGCAGCTGTGTTGGGAACAAAGCCTTGATTTGGGTTTCAGTGGCTCTTCCATGCAGATCCATTCCCATTNGGATGATCTGCAGGAGATCAGCCCTCACAATCTCCTGGATCTCCTTTCTCCAGAGCCTCTCCAGCCTATGGCTGGTGCCTGTTCTCCCTCTGGAGAGGTTTGGGAGCTGGAGGCAGGGACAGGGTGCTTGGTGGGGTTCCCCCCTGGCACAAGCATTGTGGAAGGACTGGAAATACCAGGCAGAATCCCAATTTTTCCTCTTATCTCATAGACCAGATGTAGGGCAGGGAATATTTTGAAGGAATAACCCCCAGAAGAAGGGGAGAAGAGCCCAGTTCTCCCCACTGGGATGCCCTGATACAGAAATACAGCAGGATCAGCATTCCAAATGTTTTTATCTTTCCAGAAATAAACGATCTGCGTTTGCACGCCGGCAGTCACGTGGCTGGGCTTTTTATAGCAAACCACATTTGAAGGTTTCGCACGGAATTTCTCGTGATTCTTTGGGGTTTATTTCCCATCTGAGCCCTTCCTGTTGGCGCTGTTTTCCTGCTGGGAATTGATTTGCTCCCTTCCCTTCCCTCCCCTCAGCTCCTCACGGTGTCCGAACGGCGACTACTGCTCCAACCGGCGCTTCCAGAAGAAGCAGCACGCGGATGTGGAGGTGATCCTGACTGAGAAGAAGGGCTGGGGGCTCAGAGCTGCCAAGGACCTGCCATCGTAAGCCTTCCCTCTTCCCACAGCCTGTTCCCACCCTGGTGTTCCCTGCTGAAGGGAAAAAGGGCCTGTGGGCTCTGGATTTGCCTGCCAGGAGATGGCCTGAGGTTCTGATGGGTGTCCCTCTTCCTCTTTGGCATCTGCCCATCTGTTCTTTGATCTTCTGCTCTTCCTGGTTTCCCAACAGCCTTTCCATGGCTTATTCTTGGGATGAAACTGCCTCCCCTTTCTCTGTCCCTGTTTCACTCCAGTTGTGTCCATCCTTCTCTTCCCATCTCTGCAAAACTTCTAAGTCCTCCTCCTCTTCCTCCCCTTTGGACCATAAGAGCATCCAGAGGGGATCTTTCCTCCTGGTGTTAATTCAGGATTGTAATTCCAACAGCTGGGTTGGGTGAGGCCAGGAAAGAAGAGAGGAGTGAGGACACTGAGATCTCCTGAGGCACAAGGGAGGGTCAGGATGGGGAGACCAAGATGAGGGAGAAGGGAGCAACCTGGAGTGTGTCCAGGGCAGGGAACAGGGCTGGGAAGGAGCTGGAAAATCCCTGAGAGAGCTGGGCAGGGACTGGAAAACTCCTGAGGGAGCTGGGAAGGAGCTGGGCAGAATCCCTGAGGAGCTGGGAGGGGGCTGGAGAATCCCTGAGGGAGCTGGGCAGGGCCTGCAGAATCCCTGAGGAGCTGGGAAGGGGCTGGAGAATCCCTGAGGGAGCTGGGAAAGGGCTGGAGAATCCCTGAGGGAGCTGGGAAAGGGCTGGAGAATCCCTGAGGGAGCTGGGAAAGGGCTGCAGAATCCCTGAGGAGCTGGAAGGGGCTGCAGAATCCCTGAGGAGCTGGG